AAATGATATGTGTGTGTGTTTTCATGAGTTTGTTTGCATCACATGCTTGCAGGAGCCTGTGGAGTCCAGGGAAGGGCATCGGATACTCTAGAACTGCAGTCACAACTCTCTGTACCTAAGTAATGGACTACAGGTTTCAGTGTTCCCAGCCTTCACCTCTTCAGAATTTCTTCTATATTTCTGCATCCACCAAGAGAAAATATTGGGAAGAAGGGAGAGGGAAGGGTAGGAAGTGTGGGTATGCTTAAAGCACATGATATGCATGTAGGAAAAGTCTCTGTTAAACCTGCACCATATTTTATGAACACATATGAATAGAATGGGATCTGATGTAGTCTTAGGAACCACTGTACTGAATTATTATGAGTAAGAGGACTAAGCATATGCAGTCATAAGATCCTATCTGCAGATTTGTCAGCTCTGCTCTGTGCTGCCTTGGGCAGTGCGCTGACTTCTTTAAGCCTATTCCTCATCTATGAATAAGAAGGTCAGGTTACCGTGAGCATGAGTGATTTCTGTGCAAAGCACCTAATGTAATGTCTGGTATATGGCAAGTGCTTGTTACAAAAATCTGCACACAACATGCTCTAACAATAAAACTAAAGATAAAAAAATTGTACTAATTTAAAATTTACTTCAATTAATTAATTGAATCAGTTGAAAACTAATAATTAGATTAAAAAAATAATACTCTATCTTATGTGTTTTATGTAAGCTAGTATGTATTTTATATTAATTAGTAAATGTAAAGATAATTATTTCTGGTGATATTGTCAGTGATTTAAAGATGATGCTTTGGCAATCTATATGTGCATGCTTGGTCAAAGCAAGATGAATTGTTCATACCAAACAGGCAGAATTTCTGTTAAATGGGTCAATTAACTTGGCACCTGCCAGTATAGGAGGAGAGAGGAGCCAGACAGGACTGATGGGGGTAGTGCTATTATACTTCATCTAACTTTTTAAAGGTGACTAAAATTAACTATACAAATAAACAGAAATCGCTTTATAAAAAGAAAGTCCAAAATGTTACTTTCTGTAGAAAACTCCTGGTCCAATTTTATTCAGACCAGAGAAAGAAAGTTTCAAATACATTAAAAGAAGCTCAGCTGTTGGTTTGGGATGTTACAGCTGGAGCCACGTGGCAGTGAGGACCATCTGCTGATACAGTTGACTTGCTACTACATTGCGTTCTGTTCCCAGAGTGTTGCAGTTACATTCTAGAACGGTCCTTACAGCGTAAGGCATAACACTTCACACCACTAGTTTTCTTTGATTATTTGGGCTTCTTCCTATTCAGTTAAAAAAAAAATGTTTTTTCAGTGCTGAGGATCGAATCCAGGGCTCACACATACTAGGCAAATGCCCCCTAGCTACTGAGTTACTGCCCCAGCAAAGTTATTTCTATTCTCGAAGCCCACCTAAGGAGTTTCTCTGAATGGTGTTGGCCACTCCCTTGTGTGTCACACCAAGCAAGCCTTCAGTGCCTGTGCACTTTACAGGCGGAGTAAATTCAAAAAGTGTAACTTGGTCAGCTTTCAGCAGGAATTCTTGGTCCCAAACAGGAAGACCACAGTTGGTTTGTTGTTGTTTTAAAGTATTTGCTTTATTTCTTAAATGGTGGCTATATATGTGGGTATGTGCACATGAGTGGAGGAGTCCAAGAAGTACAGACGTTACAAGAGGTTGTCAACCACATGGGTCTTGAGAACTCAGGAGTCATCTCTCCAGCCCTATTGTGTTTTTCTTTTGTTTTTATTTTTGGATAGGGTCTATACTGTGTCACAGGCTGGCCTGAAAGTCAATATGTAGCTTAGACTGACTTCAACTATTATAACTTGCAATGATCCTCCTGCCTCAACTCATCAAATAACTGACATTAAAGGGTCAACCACTGTACCAACCTCCTTTTTGTGATTTTGATAGTGAATTTAATTGCTGATTCTTTATCTTGAGGATTTTTTTTATGTTTTTGCTAGCATTTTAGGTGACTTATCTTGGTATGTTTTTTTCAAAGTAAATTAGTGCTTGGTTGGCTTGGAATATTTATAGTTTATAACTGTATTTATAGTTGATTCACTAGCGAGGAAATTGGAAGACTTAAATATCTGTAATAACGTAATTGGGAGTCTGCCTTTTAAAATAGAAAATTTAAATTCATCTTTTGCATTATGGTGTCAAAAAGTAGTGATCTTGGTCTGGGTTGTTTTCCATGTTCAAGTTTATTATTTTCCATACACTGTGCAATCAGAACTAAATTGGTAGGAAAAAAGGAAGACATTGCTAACTGGTATCTTAAATTGTAGGTATCCATGTGACTCAAATGTCCCTTTACCTATTTCTAAAAGATGTTATTGATTATTGACTGACAGGCACGAAGTGAATGGGTTTCTACTGCTCCTCTGTCCTGGTTTGTTTTATGTCTACTTGACATAAGCTAAAGTTGTCTGCAATGAGGAAATCTAAATTGAGGAAATGCTTCCATAAAATTGGTGGTAGGCAATCCTATAGGGCATTTTCTTAATTAGTGATTGATGAGGAAGGGCACAGTTTACTGTGGGTTGTGCCACCCCAGGCTAGTGGTCCTGCAGTCTAAAAGAAAGCAGGTTGGGCAAGCCATGAGGAGCAAATCAGTGAGCAGCACCCTTCATGGTTTCTGCATCAACTCCTGCCTCCAGGTTCCTGCTCCAGCTTCTTGCTTTGGTTTCCCTCAGTGGAATCAACCTTTTCCTCTCTGAGTTCCTTTGGTCATGGTGCTTCATCACAGCAGTAGTGGCCCTTACCAAGGCATCCTCTAATGCAGTGGTTCTCAGTCTTCCTAATGCTGTGAGCCTTTAATACAGTTCCTCATGTGACGACCCCAACCATGAAATTATTTTGTTGTTACTTCATAACTGTAATTTTGCTACTCTTATGAATCATAAAGTAAATATCTGATGTGCAAATCCCCAAGGGGTTGGGACCCACATATCTAATGGCATAATTTTATTTTTGCGGTTTGCATCCTTACCAGTAACTCTAGTACTTAGGAGGCTGAGTAGGAGGGTTGCCATGGGACAATGGCTAACCTGGGCTATGAAACAAGCCCTCACATCTAAAAACAAACAAACAAACAAACAAAACCACAAGCTCCTCCAAAACCAAGAAAGAGACTAGCATTTTTATTCTTTGCTGCTAAAAGGTAAGGAAACAAAGGCAGGACAGATGTTTCAGAATCCCATTTTATTTTTGATTCTCTAAGCTCCCTAAGAAGGAGACTTTATAACATAGTCTGTTCAAGAACTCTATGATAGAGCCTGTGGCAAGAGATGTGCTTGACAGATTCACACTGTATGGAAAGGAAATGGTGGGGGCCGAGCTGTTTTACGTCCTTTGCAACAGCTCACCTCAGCGGAGACATTTCTTCCTATATTGTTTGAGGGATACATTTTTGTCTTAACTAAAAATAGCACACATTGTTTTATTCTGCAGGTTTCCTCTTGTCTTTTTTTAGAAGCAAGCAGACTATAAATCATGAAAAGAGAAGTCTCTCTTCTCTCATGTAGCACAAGGTTTTGTGGTTTTTTGTTTTTTTTTTCCCAATCTTTTGAGACAGGGTGTCTCTGTATAGCTCTAACTGTCCTGGGTTGTGTAGACCAGGCTGGCCTCAAATCTCAGAGAACTGCCTAGAATCAAAGGTGTGCACCACAACACCTGGCTTCTTGTAGCTCAGTCTTAAAGCCCAAAACAATGTTTGCCTTAGACTAGCATTGTAATTGGTGACTCAGCCAGTGAGAAATGAAATTTTTAAAATTTTTTGAATTCTTTATTTTTGATGCTGAGCAGGTTCCCATGAGCCTCTGAGCTGCTCCCCACAAGAAAGGCTTCTGAACATGGCTTCTAAAATATGTTCATTTGTTTTATCTTCTGTTTAACTTTTTCTCTCCCAAAGAAAATTTGATCTCTTTTATGGCAGGGGCTGTTTTTACTTTATATCCCTTATCTTTTTTCTAAATCTTCTGGGCCCCGAAGGTTTTCAGATTCTCCAAGATAACCTTTCTTGGCTGGTTTGTCCAGTGGGGCTTTCAAGCCTCATTCTCCTGGAAACATCTTGGAGTTTTTCTTACCATCATGGAAATTTTATGTGGAGAAACATCCAACCTAAGATGACTTAGGAGGAGATTACCATCTTTGCAGAAGGATCTTAAGATGTCTTTCTGGATCATTTGCTTTCTGATATCGCCAGATTGTCCCTTATCCCAATGAAAACAGATCTAGGAGACTGTACTGTAATTAGCTAATTCTGTCACTCTTGCCAAGACAGTGAAGGTTCCTCACTGTGAACACATTCTGCTGCCAACAGCTCAATTGGAACATTGTGTTTATTTATGAGGGGATCTGAGTATGAACAATTTGGCTTCAAGATTAAATGAGGGAATAGGTTATATTGATAAACCTGATGTAATATTAGTCTTTTAAAGGAACATTACAGTCACAAAAATAAAGGAGCTCACATGTGAAGTATTGAACATCACAGAAATCGAAAACTCTCCTTCATTTACAAGAGTTCCCCGCTTTCATTCCTCTTGCCTTTGTGAAAGCAGACAGATGTACTGGAGCCAACCTAGCTTGGTATGATAACAGCGGATTGGAACACAGTACAGAACTAGGTGTACAGCGTTAGGCAGTCCAAGTCAGGATAGTTACTCCATATGAGGAGCTTTGATAGGCAGTCTAGTGGGACACAAAGCATAGTCATGAGTATATGCATGCAACAAAAGTCCCTAAGTCATATAAAGGAAGACTACGCAGAGCTGGGTATGCTGGCACACACCTGTAATTCTAGCACTTGGGAGGTGGGGACGTGAGAATTGAGTGTTGAAGGCCCTCCTTAGTTATAATGACCTACAGAGTTCAAGATCAGCCTGGGATACCTGAGGCCCTGTCTCAAAACACCAAAAAGAAACCCATATATATATATGAAATGGAAATAGATCAGTGAATTGTGGAACTAGAAGAATGCTTGCTTTGGCAGTGCATGTACTAAAATTGGAACAACACTGAGAGAAGATTAGCATGGCCCCTGAGCAAAGAATGACATCTAGCTCTGTGAAGTGTTCTATATATTTTTTTGAGATTCAAATAAAACTTATCTGACAGTATATTTTAGCTCCGTAGTGTATTTTGCTAATAGAATTTAAAATAATAGATATTTTGTCAAAGTCATTATTATTTTTTTTGAAATGTAATTATCAAGTTCAGTGTTTTTCCCCGATTTATTTTTAATCTAAACTGATTTTTCACGTTTTGGATTAAAACGCTTGAAGGTCTATAACAGGAAACAGAATGAGCTGAATGCTGAGCAGGATTTTCAATAACAGAGGAGGGGTAGGAGGGACTGATAGGCACTGGTTAGAAAATCAGAACTTTGGGGAACAGAGGAAGTCCTTAGTCCTGAATGGATATGTGTTGTTGGCATGGGCGTGGCCACATAAAGGACCTAATGGCAAAACCTTCTAGGATCCATGTGTGGATGTTGATAGCATGGTGGGCAGAAAATGTCCACCATAACTTTCTTCTTCAGGGTGTTTAAGACTTGAACACTGCTCCCTTACAGAAACTGCTCCTACTAATATTAGCTAAACCCACCTTCTTGGTCAGCTGTATGCCAAAGCCCCGCCTCCTTGGTCAGCTGTATACCATGAACCCCTCCTCTTTGGTCAGCTGTTTCCAGGATCCCAGACCTCCCGATCCCAGTTTTTCTGTGTCCATGTGTCTGGGTCTGTCATTTCTTTACTCCCTCGCTGCCCTGTCAGGTCCGGCCTTTGGAGTTGGGTAATGTCTCGGTAGAGAATGGAAAGCTTCTTGGCTGTTTCCCACCTGTAGTTCCAGTCACTTGAAGCTCCAATTACTCATCAGAACTCAGGAGTTTGCGACCAGCCTGGGCAACATACCAAGAACCCATCTCAAAAGTAAAATCAAATATAAAATTTAAGTTGATTCTAGAAAAGGAGTACCATTTTAATGGATGGAAGGAGGGGGTGCGACTGGGAAGCTCTAGCTTTGAGGTGAAGTTAGATGTGGCTGCATGCATTACTGGCATCATTTTTGGGTAAGGATAAAGGAGAATACAAGGTCAACCTGTATCGGAATGTACAATAATTATTGAAATGATAAGGATTTGTATGGTATTGTCACATACATACTTGAGAATTGTAACAGTTCGGGAAGGTGTTTATTACCAGTCCCACTGCATTCATGCCCCTGTATGATTTCCTTCAGAGAGACTGGGACTTGAAGGCATTGCCCCTTACAAGAAGTGTAACCTGGGACACATTCCGAGTATTACTGAATCTCAGTCTTGTATGCCATGCACTCTATCCAGTGAGTTGTTTTCAGCGCCGATGCATAGGGCTCAGTGCTGCCTCGTTCTGGGGACAGCCATATAGGCCAGGACCTGTTAGTGCTTTCTACAGAGAGCCAGCAGTAAATAGTACAGGCTTTGCCAGCCACAAGGTACTACAACTCAAAATTGTCACTGTTGCACAAAACATCCAATGTATAAACCTATGAGAATAGGCTGCAATTCTCTCTCTCTCTTTTGAGATGGTGTCTTGCTATGTAGCCCAGGCTGTGCTCCACCGTGCCTAGCTTTATGGAGTGATTATATTCTAAGAAGATGTCCATTCCTAAGAACAGAGGCAGGACTGGACTGACCCACATTCTGAAATTTGATAATTACTCATGAATGATAAACCTGTAAATGTGTGGCCCTGTGTTGTACAGGTTATTTTAAGAAAGAAATTTACAGGATCCATAAGATGTAGTAATTTTCTAGCCTCTTTCATGTGGTTCCTCCAGGATAAAAGCTGACCAGTGGATTCATAAGTAAGCCATTTAAAACCTTCCCTTTAACTCCAGAATTCTCAGTTGGAAAATAAAAGCCATCGTCTATCAAATTAACTATAATTAGGTATGTGAGTAAGAGCAATAATATGTGGATGTTGTTCTGGATTTCTTAAAGGCAGACTAAGTAGAGCTTATGGCTGAGATTGTTGTAACTGAGCAGCACAGTGCAGTAACATCCTGAAATACAGTATGACAGGAACCCACAGCCTAAACACTGGGCTGCTCCGTGTCTCAAGTGATTTGGTCTTTTGTGCAGACTAGGATTTTTTTTTTTTTTGAAACAGGGTTTCTCTGTGCAGCCCTGGCTGTCCTGGAACGCACTCTGTAGACCAGGCTGGCTTCAAACAAAGAGATCCACCTGCCTCTGCATCGTGAGTGCTAGGATTAAAGTTGTCCACCACCGTTGCCCAGCCAGACTAGGATTTTTTTTTTTTCTGGAGGAAACATGTATTGCTTTGGAACTTCTGCTTTGCAGAATTATCACTTAGTGATAATGTTACATTGATTTGTCCAAATCCACATAATTCTGCCATGGTCTCATTCTTGAAATGATTACTAATAAAAGTCACACATATTCTACTAGTAGTACTTAAGGAGTGGGCTGTAGGAGCTTTTTAAATTAGTTAGATCCCTGTTCGAACTGTCCCTCTATCAGCTTACCTGTTTGTTTGGAAAGACTTATTTTAGCTCCCAGTTTTAGAGATTTCAGTCTATTGGCCCCGTTGCTTTCAGGCCATGTAGAGTTAGCAATCAGGAATGGATAGAACATATGGTGGAGGCTGCTCCTCTTAAAGTAGCTGGGAAGAGGGGAAAAAAGCAAAACAGTTCTAGTTCTTTAAATATTTTCAGAGATTTTTTTTTTTTTTTTTGTTAACCTCAGTCATTTGAAAAGTTTGCTTATGCCGGGTGATGGTGGCGCACGCCTTTAATCCCAGCACTTGAGAGGCAGAGGCAGGCGGATTTCAGAGTTCGAGGCCAGCCTGGTCTACAGAGTGAATTCCAGGACAGCCAGGGCTACACAGAGAAACCCTGTCTTGAAAAACCAAAAACCAAAAACCAAAAAAAAAAAAATTTCTTATTAGAATATATCAATCTTAATCAAATGCTGATTTTTGCTAGGGCAGTATTGACACTTGGTCTTCTCTTTCCACCCTGTGGGTTCCAGGTCCTCAGGCTTGGTAGCAAGTGCCTTTACACATTGAGCCACCTTGCAGGCCCTTGATACTTCTTTTGAGTCTTGATTGAAGAATACTTAATTGATTCTTTTAGAACATCACTGGCTAATCCTACCTAAAAATATCCAGTGTAGTGTTACTTATAATTTTGTGTTGTCATAGTGAGCTTATTCATCAACTCTTTTTGTTTTGTTGTGTTTTGTTTTGTGTAGCCCTCGATTGGTCTGGAACTCATTAGGTAGACCAGGCTGGCCATGAACTCAGAAATCCACCCTTGATAACAAGACATCTTTTGTGGTTATCATGTGAAAGAGTAGGATTTCTTTTCTTTTCTGTTTGTTTGTTTGCTTTAAGACATGGTCACTCAGTTCCCCCAGGCTCCTGTCTCCTTTCTTCGATTTGCTTATGTACGGATATGCTTTTTCATGCTCCGAGTTATTCCATAGAAATTGAACCACGTATTTTCTATTGCAGGTTGTCATGTGTTTTCAAGGTCTCTCCATGTTGTGCATTCATCAATGTTTCTTCACTTTTCTTCGCTCCCCCTTTCCTTTTCCTTCATTTCTCCTCTGCTCCTTGCCATTTGTTTATTACCTGCTGCAATCCTCCTGCTTCAGCCTTCTGAGTTGGCGGGATTGCAGACATAAGCTACCATATTCAGCTTCTGAGTCTAGGCAAGAACTCTACCAAAGCTACGTCCTCACTTCATAATGCTGCTTTTAGGCACTGGTCTGAGCCCTTGTTTTCAGTTCTTTTGGTATATATGTAGGAGTAAAATTACAGTATTATGTGATGATTTTATACCTAGCATTCAAAAAACCGCCAACCCTTCCCACAGTGGTACACATTTTAATATGAGTTCAGAACCTTAATTTTAATTATTTTTTTAGACAAAGTCTCAAGTAGCACAAACTGGCTTAAACTGACTGTGTAACTTAGGATAACCTTGAACTTCTTTCTATTCCTCTTGAGTCTACCTCCCCAGTGCTAGGATGACAGATGTGTGCCACCATGCCCAGTTCGGCAGTGCTGAGGTCAAGCCCAGGGTTCCATCTGTGTTAAAACATACTTTACTGATCTGTACCCCCAGCCCTAGAATCTTAGGGGTTTGTTTTTGTTTTGTTTTTTGTTTTTTGCTTTTTCAAGACAGGTTTTCTCTGTGTAGCCCTGGCTGTCCTGGACCTTGCTCTGTAGACCAGGCTGGCCTCAAACTCAGAGATTCACCTGCTTTTGCCTCCCAAGTACTGGGATTAAAGGGAGTATGCCACCCCTGCCAGGCAGAATCTTAGTTTTTAAATGCCAATTATTTATTTTAAGCTAAGAAATGTCTTAGGATTTCACAAATTCTGTCTGGAGATAATAGCATTTCTAGAGTTGCCCTTTTAGAGTTTTCTTTTTCATCTTAGATTTAAAACACTCAATACTGATTTCTTTGGCATACATTCACTGAGAAGCTAGAGAGATTTTTACATTCCAGCAGCATGGGAAACATGCTAAAAATAGAGCATGCTACTTTCCAAACGAGTTAACACTCAGGGCTCCCAAGCAGTCTAAAACTTACACGATGACAAAACACTGGATTTTTCTTTTCCTTGTAAAAAAAATGATTTTTAAATTTTATCTATTTTGTGTGTGGTGGGGGCAGGGGGAATGAATGCTATGTCACTTGTGTGGAAGTCAGAGGAAGACTAGTCTTTTTTTTTCCCCATGTAGGTTCTGGGGAGCAAGCTCAGGTCGTCAGGGATGGCTCAAGTACCTTTTCCTGCAGGGCCATGTTGTTGACTGTAGATTTTTATCCCCTACAAAATGCTTATGTTCTTAAGTAAGTGTAAATTATAGTTGTTTCTCAATTAAATCTGAGTTGTATGCTGTCCATTATCAATATCATGGTTTGAAATAAACAACAATGAGCTGGGCATGCTGACACACTCTTAGAATCCCAGCACTTGGCAAGACTTAGTAGGGGTAGGCTTGTGAGCTCAAGGCTAGCCTGGGCTATGTAGCAAGGATCTATTTACGTTGGGGAAGTGATGGGGCATGGAGGG